GAGTTACACAGGGAGGACGGGGAACACGACGTCCTGGAAGTGGGAGCGGAGTTACACAGGGAGGACGGGGTACCCGACGTCCCGGAAGTGGGAGCGGAGTTACACAGGGAGGACGCGGAACCCGACGTCCCGGAAGTGGGAGCGGAGCTACACAGGGAGGACGGGGTACCCGACGTCCCGGAAGTGGGAGCGGAGCTACACAGGGAGCACGGGGAACCCGACGCCCCGGAAGTGGGAGCGGAGCTACACAGGGAGGACGGGGTACCCGAAGACCGGGAAGTGGGAGCGGAGCTACACAGGGAGGACGGGGTACCCGACGTCCCGGAAGTGGGAGCGGAGGAGTTACACAGGGAGGATGGGGAACCCGAAGACCGGGAAGTGGGAGCGGAGCTACACAGGGAGGACGGGGAACACGACGTTCCGGAAGTGGGAGTGGAGTTACACAGGGAGGACGGGGTACCCGACGTCCCGGAAGTGGGAGCGGAGGAGTTACACAGGGAAGACGGGGTACCCGAAGACCGGGAAGTGGGAGCGGAGCTACACAGGGAGGACGGGGAACCCGAAGACCGGGAAGTGGGAGCGGAGGAGTTACACAGGGAGGACGCGGAACACGACGTCCGGGGAATGGAGTATCAGTGAGCAGACCAGTTGGAAGTGGTGGTGGATCTGGTGGTAGACCTGGTGGGACTGGAAGTCCTCATGGCGACGGCACATTTGTTGGCAAACCCGGAAGGTTCGGACGCAGAGGTGGTGTTTGTTTGTAGTTATATTAAGAATTTAATCAATTATTACAGAAATGGTAACCAAAATGGAGGCTATGGTGATGGCAGTGGTAGCAATAGACCCCAAGAATCAGGGGGTGTAGGGAATAGAGGAACTATAGGTATTACTGGTAGAAATATTTTAGCTAATTTTACTGTATATTATAAGCAAAGATATATTTTAGGTGTTGGTGGAAATGGGGGCGCTAGCAGTGGTGGCGGCTATTCAGTAACGGTTGGAACAGTTGGTTACGGAAGGGGTAGTACTGCTGGTTACGGTATTCAGACAAGTCATGTCCACAATAACTATGGCAGTGGGGAAAGTGGTGGACACAG